CTCTGGGAAGCCATCCCAGCTGGTGCTCCTGGCCTTTTTTATCAGGATGTGCTGTGGATACAGACTGTGAGAGGCATCCCCCTTCCCTTCCTCTCCTTTGGCTCGTGTGCATTTGCTCCAGACCTGCTCCAGGGTCAGACAGATTCCACCAGCTCCTGTAACAGGCAGCTGCTCCTGTTGTTCCTTTTATTCTTTATTTTCCTGCTTGCTTTGATGGGGTCAGTTATTTGATCCTGATAAAGGTGCCACGAAGGCATGGCTGGAAAAGAAAATTGGAAACTCTGGAGTCAAACTCCCGCTTTTGAGCACCTCCTGTGTATTCCTTGGAAGCTCCTCTCTGGCATTAATGACACATTAAAGCCCTTTGGCTTTGGAAAGTGCAAGGAGTGGGGATTTTTGGCCAGATGGACCTTTCTGAGCTTTCCCAGCACTGGTGAGGACAGAGATCAGCATCCCTGGCATGCACTGTCAGAGGTGGGGCCTTGCAGAGTCCCCTGAAACTCTTTTTTCACTGTTTGCTGTTGTTGTCATTTTATTTTGGCAGCACCTGTCATGTAATTCTGTATTTCCAGTGGCCAGGTTCCATCCTGGAAGTGACACCAGAGAGGAAGAAAAAGCAAAATCTTCTCAGCCCTTCAGCAGGAATGGGTTCATTCCTTTCCTCTGCCTTTGCTCACTGTTGTAAAACACTCACCCCTTGTGCTGGAGTGTTGGGAGTGTCTTGAAGGAGCATCTGGAGAGGGGGAGTTTGGGACTGAATTATTGGAGGTTTGCTGTGGAAATCTGTGGGGAAAATCGCTGGGAAGGCTGAGGATGTGATCCTGGTGGTTCAGGGATAAATCATCCTGTTCTTAGTGTGCTTACAGGAGTTAGAGAGAGCCCTGTCTTTGTGCCCTTTTCCTTTTCCTCATTAAATCCATTTGTTTGTGGTGCTGGGATGTGGAAGTGGCCCCTCCTCTCTGTGCTTTACTGGAGCAGTGCCTGGTGCCCAGCCCACACAACGTTGATCCCAAGGGTTAATTTGCTTTTCTGCCCACTGAGAAAGGTTTTCCTCCACCCCACCAAGTGCTCTGCAGGCTCCTGTAAAGCAGGAAACATTTCTTCTCAGGTCTGTAGTTCCCAAATGCTCCCGGGCATTTCTGCACTGATGTTCCGAGGTGAAAGCATTGAGGAATTTTCTCTTTAGGCTCTTTACTTTGAACAAGCAATTCTGACAAGAATAATTGATTTTAATAGGAAGTAGAACTTCACCTGGCAGCCAGGCAGTGTTCAGGGGATGTCAGACAATGTCCTTGTCACCTGCTGCATTTCTTCTTGCTGCTTTTCTTTTCCTGTGGGTAGCACACTTTCCCAAATATCTAAGTTCTAATATTTACAAGGCTAAGATGTGGTGGGCACAAAAAACAAAACTTTATTTCTATCACTCTTCACCCCACAGGAAACTGCTGTGCCTGGGAGAGTGTGCTTTAATATTTGACCACTCCTATAGTGACAATTACCCTTAAATTCCAGCCTTTGGTTTTGGCAGTGACCAAATCCTAGATGAGATGAACATTAAGACGTGGGAAATGTAAACTTGTGTCTCAGCCAGTTAAACACAGAGTGGTTTCTAGGGCATGATTCACCTGGCTGGAAGGTAGATTGCTGAAATAGCTGGGATGAATCACACTCCAGATGTGTCCCTTTCTCTTCACTGGCTATCAGGGAGTCCAGATGATTCCCTGAGCTGCAGTGTGGGAGAATCTGGCTTTATGGCAGAGAAATTCCTTTCACAGTTTTTGCCTGAATATCTCTGACCACAGCACTAAGCCCAGCTTTGAAGCTGAGAGACGTGAACTTTCTGGAGTTGAAAATCTCCTGTGTTGAATTCTCTGAGAAAATAATATTTCATGCTGACCTTTCTCCAGTTTGTCATCTCCTGCTGCTGCAGATGTCAGGTTCTGTCTCCATAACCCTGCCCTGAGAGAGCTGGATGGCTCCAGAGATGCAGCAAGATGTCTGGCAAGATAAATTCAACTGGATCTTTTCATTTTAGGCCCTGACATTTTCTCAGTGGAACTCCGGTTCTTGGCATCGCTTTGGTGCAGGCTGAGCTGGGTTTGTGTTCCAAGCAGGATTCCTGGGATGTGGATCCCTGCCTTGGGCTGAGAGCAAGGAGCCAGGGGCTGGCCAGGACTGACCAGTGAGAACCAAGCCCTTGGAGCCTTCCTCCTTGCAAAGCCACCCCAGCTCCTGGAAGCACCTTCCAGCCCTGGGTGACAGCACAAAAAAGCTGAGGTGTAACCCCCTGTGCCTCAGTGCCCCTCTGCCAGCCAAGCCCTGCTCCTCAGAGCTGGGATTTGTGCCTTGGGCTCAGCACTGGATTTTTGCACGGTAGGCTGGGAGGGTTTGAAGCACGGTCCCTCTGAAGTTTGGGCTCGGTGACGTTTGTGTGGCAGTTTGTGCCCAGATCTGGCTGTGTGTGAAGTGACAGCAGAGGCTCTGTCAGCTGAAGCAGAAGCAGCAGGAACACGGCTCCTGCGTAAGAGCTCTGCTCTGGTTCCTCATCGGTGCAAAAGGGACTAAAATACCCAATGGCATTAACAAAAGGAACAAGTGTCAGGCCAACCCGATTCATTTTTTGACAAGAAAACTGATTTAGGAGCCAAAGAGAACGTACTCGACTGTATTTACTGAGAGGAGCTGAGTGCAGGATGGCTGTGGGTGGGAGGTGGCCGTGGGGAAAGGGGGACATGTGAGGCATCACTGGGAGATCTCTGACACTGGAATGAATATTTCATGCTGTTCCACAAATCTCTGGTAACGTCCCTTTGGGAATAGTATTTGCAATTCTGGTCATCTGTGTTCCAGAAAAATGCAGGCAGGGTATGTGGAAACCTGAAAGGGTTGGTGAAATGCCTGGGGAAGGAAGAGTTTGAGGGCTGGAAGGCAGGAACCACACCTGGAAGTGTCCATAAATATGGCAGAGGGGAAGCTTTGGTGAGGGAAGAGCTCAGGCCTGGCAGAAGAACAGATCAGTGGTACCTGGTCTCAGATGTAGCATGGGGATTCTTCAGCTCTGAAGTCTCATCCCTTCCCGATGTGTGCTGGGGTTCTCTGTGCTTGGAACTGATCCCTGTTTCTGAGAGCATGCAGGAAGCTGGGCTGGGAGCAGGGCAGGGCTTGTGAGGAGGCACTGGAGCATCTCTGAGCATCCAGCTGTTGCACTGGCACCAGGAATCAGGCTCTGTAATTGTTACTTCTCCAGATGTGGCTCCCCTGCTTTGCTGGGCCCAGCTGTGGGGTGGGCTGGGGGTCCATCACCCCTGACTGCAGCTGCTGCTTTGGGTGGGACCCCGTGGTTCCCTCCAGCTCTGTCTCAAAAGCCCAGGTGTGGGATCAGCCCTGACTGAACAGGAGGTGCCTGTGCCACGAGTTCAGCCATCACCTGGGGCTTGTTCCATGCCTTAATTTTCTGCCTGCTGTCCCAGGACTTTGTGGGGCCCGTGTGGACAATCCCCTGTATGACACACAAAGGGCACAGGTTTCTTCTACAGCTGATTGTGAATCAGAAGGGACATTTTGTCAAAGTGGGAGGAGCACAGCTTTCCTTTGCTGCCCACTGACTGCATCCATCTGGGTTTTGAGGATGAAAGGCACTGCCAGGTTAAGGTCTTGCTGCTTTGTGTGACTGACTCTACAACTGAAGGGCTGGAACTGCAGCTCTGACTGTCCCAAACTCAAGGAGATGAGGTTTTTAAAGCAAAGCCAGTCCAAGGCAAATGGTGAATCAGGCCCTTTAATGTGCACAACTTCAATGTTCTCTGTTGATGCTGAGAACCTGAAGCTGTGCTAGAAGGTCTCTTCAAGTCCTCCCTGTGCAGGCAGTGATTAACAGGGGTTTGGGGAAGCCAGGCTTCCACTCAGAGCTTCTACACTTGCATACCCACCGTGAGGGATTTATTGTGTGTGTGCTTTGTGTTCCTCCCCGAGCTGAGGGGACACTGGCTCACAGAGCCTCGCCACAACAAGGGCTGGAATGGTCACAGCTCTGTCCCTGAGAGCTCAGACCGGGACTTGGAGGGAGCCCAAGTCCATGGTCAGGGTGTCTCAGTGGCAGAACTCTTCAACAGGGCCCAGGATGGCTCTGACAGGCTGATCAGCAAATGGGGAAAATCTGTATTTGCTGGGGCAGCCTCGGTGCTCAGAGCAGAATTCCCGCAGTGGGTGAAACATAAACACAATTTATTACTGTGTTAAAAACCACACAGCTGCCAGTCAGAGGAGCAGGGGTGTCCTGGCCATGGATGGATGGATGGATGGTGTGGTTGGGATGATCCCTGCTGCCAGAATGGAGCAGGAGTTCCATGTCTGTCACAAAGGACACCTGGGCTGTGCTGGTGCAGTTCTGAATCTCCGTGAGCTCCACAGGCAGAGATGTTCCCAAGGTCGTGGCAGGCACCAGGCTGGCCCCGTGCAGTGTCCAGGGTCCAGGATCTGCTCCATGCAGGCTGTCCCCACAGCCAGGAGCAGCAGGGCTGGGCTGTGCTCCAGGCCAGGCCTGGGACAGAATAAGGGGTGTCAGTACATCACCAGACTGAAATGGGCAGCCTCCAGTTTAAAAAAAAACCCTTCTAAATACGTGCACTAACTTTGCTTGGATGTCCCCAAAGCCTCTGCCATTTCCACCGAAATGAAAATTCCTTTGCAGGACACCATCACTTGTTTTTGCTGGTTTTGGGAACTGTGCATTGTGCCAATGGAATTGTCCCTGACAGATGTGTATGTGTGGAGGTGGCAGGGGAGCTGCCAGGCCTTGGGGGGGACACAGGACACAGCACCTGGAGCTTGCCTGGCATGGCTGGGAGCAGGATGAGGGCGATGGGAATGACCAAAACCGCGGCGCGAGGTTGGAATTGGCACAGAAACAATTGGGCTGCGAGCTTTGCTGCGTGTGCTGCTGCTGTGCTGTGGGAGCTGGGGCTGCAGGCATTCCCTGACTGTGCTTTTCTCTCCCCAAGCTGATCAGTGGTGGCTCCATTGTCAGTGCTGAGGCAGTATGGGATCACGTCACCATGGCCAACCGGGAGTTGGCGTTTAAAGCAGGAGACGTCATCAAGGTCCTGGATGCTTCCAACAAGGACTGGTGGTGGGGTCAGATCGACGATGAGGAGGGATGGTTTCCAGCCAGCTTCGTGAGGGTGAGTGATTTTCTGCTTTTTACACCTCTGAGCAGTCACTGCTGGTGCTCAGGGCATCAAGAACGGAGCTCTTGCTCAGTTTTTAATGTGTTTATTTGTTGCTTGGTGGGACCCCCAAATGTATCTCAGTGGAACCACCAAATGTCCATCAGTGGGACCTCCAAATGTAGCCATGGAAAGGGGTTTTAACCCTTTAAGTGAGGCAGAAATAAGATGCACAGTTACATGGTCGTCTGTCATGACAGGAAGAAAGAGCCAAGTTTATTTAGAAACACACTTGGTTTTATAGCATGACTGCAACTCCAAGAGTAGAGAAAAGGTGATTGGTTCAGAGAGAAGACACCCCATTGCCAGGGCCTGGGCACACACCACAACAGGTGTTCTATCTTTGTTATTAATTCCTTTTTATTTTATTTTTATTATTTTTATTTTATTTTTATATTTATTATTTATTTTTATTATTTTTTATTTTTATTTTGACCAAATTATCACCCTGGGAGAAATTCTCCCCAACCTTGAGCTGGACCAGCTCATGGGCTGGGAACAGAGCTGAGAAGCTCCAGCCTGGAATATTTTTCAGGCTGTAATTTTCTTACTTTCTCAATATGTGTCCCACATTTATTCTCTGTGGTTACTGAGTTAGAGAGAGAGTAATGACAGTAACACACACAGACTTCTTTGGGGGAAGAAGGAGATATTTTATTGAGAGTACAATTTGTATTTATAAGGTTTTTTGTGGAGTTAAGACAAGACAGGAGCTCATTGGATAATTGGGAGAACGCTTCTAGGACAGGACTTCAGAATGGGTTTCATGGTCAGCACCAGGTGTTAATCTAGTGTTATTAATTCTGTTCTATTTTGACAAAATTATTGTCCTGGGAGAAAGTCTCCCTGCCAGAGCTGAACAAGTTATCAGCTTGGGAACGGAGTTGAGACAATCCTGGGAATGATTTTCCTGGCTGTAACTTCCCCAGATCTCTAACAGTGTGTCCACAATTCTCACTGATGCTGATTCCCACTTCTTTGCCTGTTTTCTGTCTAAAAAATGGGGAGCAATGAATTGTGTGCAAAATTGTGAGCAAAAAATTTCGTGCTGCTGCCTCCCCAGCAAACAGATTTTTCCCCTCTGGTGCTCTCCCCCAGGTCTGACCAATTCCAAGAGTGAAAGATCCATGACTGGAACTAGAGCTGGGCTGCCCCAAAAAAAGTTAATGCAGTTACTCTGGCCTAGGATAACAAATTGTGTTTGGTATTTTGAGCCTGACCCTGCAGCCAGTGGTGGCAACAAGTCTGGAAAATGGATTTGTGTCAGGTGTGATTGAGGTGAAAACCTTCCTGCAGAAACACTCTCACCTGTGCCTCCAACACATCTCCTGTGTGCTGCAGCTGGACAGGCTGAACGAGAACAATCTCATTTTGTTTGCTTAATTTCCACACTGAAATATTCTGGGCCACTTTAACCTCTCAGGGCACTGAGCAGTGCTGGTTTCTTTGGTGTGGTGTCACAAACAAAGTGTCCATGGGAGGTTTAAGAACAGTCTGGAAAACGTTGTCCTGGTTTTTAAAACCACACCAAAACCCCAAATGAGCCAATGTCTTTAGGGCCCCTACCCATTGTCTTGGCTGAATTCCCCATCTCTGCCTACACTTTTCAAAGGTTGGGAGGATGGTTTTAAAAACTGTGGGGAACAAAGGAGAGGGGAATCAGTGAATCCCAGACAAATGTCTGGAACAAATCCTGGATCCTCCTCCTTGGTGCTGAGGGTCACAGCAGCCTGCCCAGGCAGGTTTTGTGTGTCCTGTCCAGTATCCCAGTGAGACCAGTCCTTCCATCAGTTCTGCAGGAGGCTGTTCCACCTGGGAATCATTTTTTGGGGCAGGAAGGGGACCTGACACCTGCCCCTGCCCCTCCCAGAGTGGGGAGCAAGGCCTGGCTGTACTGCCTTAATGAGAATTAATATTTCAAAACAGAAATCCTGGCCCATTTTGTCTGCAGGTCTTGAAGGGAGGCTGCAGGGAAAGATTTGCCCCTCAGGTTTCCAAAGGAGCTGAATAAGGAATGAAAGAACTGCGAGAAGAGCAGATGATCACTCACATCAAGAGGAGGCTGCGTTTTTCTCTGTTGTACTTTGAGCCCTGCTTTTTCAAGATGATGCCAGAAAACTGCTTGATTTAGCCTGTTTTAGTTCTAGTTTTACTTGCAAAATGATTGCTTTTCTTTGTAGCTGTATTTCTCTTCTGTAAGCACAGAAGGAAAAAAGAACAATATGTTGCATAGAATATGAATAGCATTCAAGTGAGGCATGTCAGACACACCAGACAGGTATAAAGCCAAATAGGATTAATTTCAGGATATTTTAGACTTCAGGCCTCTTGTAAGGACTGACAGGAGTGCAGGAGAAGATCACTGCACAGTTGGGTTCCTCTCAAAGTCCTTTGAATCACTTCTGAGGACAAAACTGGGCTGGGAACCCAGTTTGCAATGAGATGTCTGACGCTTCTTGCTCTCCAGCCAGATCATCTGAAAACCTTTGGCAAAGCATTTGGCACTCACAAAATCTCCTAGCAGGGAATTTCACATTTGCAAGTGGAGAGGAAAACAGGAACCTGCTGATTCCCTTGGCCTCCTTTACATGACAGCCAGGGGTAGCAAACAAAAATGCTCCTGAATTCCCTGCACACACAGAAATTGTTGTTTCCCTGCTCACACCTGCACTAATCCTCTTAGTAGCTTGGGACTCGGGGAGGGGAAACCACAGAGGTTTGGGAACTTTCAAGGAGAAACTGGATGATAAAGGAGTGTTGTTTCAGGGGAAGAGAAAGCACAGCATAGGAGAAGTAAAATTTGGAATGGTGAACGGTTTCTGCAGGGAGCTGCTGCACTCAGGGAGAAGGTTATGAAAACCCCGAAGTCAGAAAGGTGGATAAGAACTCCAGAATTAAATTGAAAACCCAGCAACGAGCTGGGTTTAGACAGATGAAGGTGTCCGTGGTGTATTTTAGTGCCTGTTCTGAGCACACTGGACACCCACAGGGTGCCTGTGAACATCCTGTCAACTTCCAGTGGTCTGACAGGTTGGGAGGTACAGCTGGAAAAAAAAAACCAGCAGGAATTTCAAACAAGATTTCACATTCTTGTGGTGGTAATGCCACTTCTTTTCTCCTCTGTGGATGGCAAAGCCTTAGGCTACATCATGGGCTACAGATGAATTTTTGCATAACCAGCACATTGACACTGACTCAGAAAAACAGGCTCAGTGTTGGGAGGAAGGGATTTCTAGCAGAGAATAACAGTCCAGGGCTGCCCTTGCATCCATTGTTGTACCTTGAGGTCTCCTTTAGAAAGCACAGCAAGCCTCAAAACAAAGTTTGGATTGCAGAGCTTCTCATCAAGGCTCCAAAACAGCCCAGGTGAGACTCTCCAAACTCAGGAAATCAAACGGCTTCGTGTTTGGGCTCTGACATATTTGCACTGCAAGAGAAATAAAAAGAGTAAAGCTTATGGATGCTGTGCAGGGGAATGTTTCCTCAGAGACATGGCAGAGTGCCCCTGTCCTGGGCAGAGAGGGGGATTTATTCCTGGGTAAAGCTCTCTTAGTCTCTTTGGGTACCAGACTGAGCTTGCAGAATATATTTCTTCTCACCTCAGCAATGCTGAGTCTCCCTTCCTTATGTTACCAAGCCAATGTAAAGAACAAAACTGGGGCTGGGGAGCTTTTACTGCTCTGGTGAGTGAAGAAGGGAAGAAATGGTGCTCCCAAGGCCTGAGCAAGGAGGGGATATCAAATCTTCATGGTCTCCTCTTGCAGGAGAAGTGCAGGGGTGGAGAAGTGCAGGGGTGGCAGTGCTCCGTGTTCTCTCTCACCACTGCCTTGGTTCCCCCAAGTGTTGTAATTTTAGATTGATTTTCCTGCTGTAAAGCTGCCTTTGACCCACTTTATTTTCTGCTGCTAAAAGAGAAGTGCTGGATAAATTGGAGTGAGCTTTTAAGGCACTGTGGAGAAGGAGACTCTGAAGGCAGAGCCTGGGCTGGGCAGGTGGGTTTAGCTTTTAGCTGTGCCTGCTCTGTATTGCAGGTGTAATTCCTCATTTTGCTGCTTCTTTTTGCTTTCAAATCTGATTGTATCTTGTGGGGCTCATCACTCACCTGCTTTTCCCCCCCTGCAGCCCTTGCATTAGCATTAGGGGCATCAAGGTGAGATTTCCCTCTGGAGATGGAGCTGAGGTGTCCTCACCTGTTGGGCAGCCCAGGATGTGCTGCAGTGCCTGCTGCAGTCAGAGCCTCCTAAAGGAGATTTGATTCTCCCGTGGCAAATCCAGCTTAAAAATAGCAGTGCTGGAGGTAGGAGCATGGGCAGTGCTGCTGGGACAGGCTGAGCTGCACAGTTTGGGCTTCCCTAAAGGCAAGGAGCATTTCAGCATGCCAGGGCTCCCTGTGCACTGCAGCTCAGGCAGCTCCCACAAAGGCTCACACACTGGCACTGTGCCCTTCCCTGGACGAGCTGGTTTGGAGGGGAAAAAACAGAGTTTTGAGGCCTTTCTTGGAGTCAGGCAAAGCAGGCAGGGATCTCCACAGTCCCTGCCCTGGCCCTGCCCTTCCCCAGGCTGGCAGGGCTCTGCAGTGAGCTCTGAGTTCTGCTCTGCCACCCGTGTGTCCCAGGCACCAGCACTCAGCAGGGTTTTTGGGGAACGGGGGGGCTGAGCCCTCATTCCCAGTGTTCTGCTGGATTTACTGGAGCCCATCCTGCAGTGTCCAGGCAGATTTTGGTCCCTGCTGGAGCTCCAGCCCCTGGGAATCTGCACTTGGATTGCAGGGAGGGAGCACAGGGGCTGAGCTCAGCCTGAAACTGTCCCTGCAGAATCCCCTGATTCCTCCTTTTCCAGACATGAAACCCTGCACAGGAATGTGACATT